GGGATTTGAACATTAATCTGATGTAGATTATACATCCGCCTCCCTCTCTCTCCCCTTCTCACTCCCTCTCTCTCCCTCTTTCTGTCTGTTTCTCTCCCCTCCCTCTCCTTCCTGCTTCATCTCTTCAAGAAAGTGAACATAAAGTAAAAACACGGAGAGAGAGAGGCAGAGAGAGAAAAAGCTCCCCGAAGAGGGAAGCCCCAGCAGCCAGTAGCTGTTTGGATTTGCCTGGCGCTGCCTTTCTTGCTTTGCTCCCAAGGAATACCTTTAATGGGATCATTTGCTTCAGTTCCTTTATAACCAAGTTCACCGGAAAGGCAGACTCAACATATTATGGGCAACTGTGTGAAGTCTCCACTGAGAAACCTCTCAAAAAAGGTATGTTCCCTAAATCAAAGTGAATTGTGCTTTTCCAGCCCTGCTTCTTGGGACGGGCGACGTTGTGGGCAGACGGGCAAGGGAGGTGGGAGAGCCGCAGCGGTGCGTGCGAGGGGCTCAGCTCTCTTCACAAGTCTTTTTTGTAAGAGCTGCTCGTGCAAGGGCAGCCACTAGAGCCCGGGATGCTGAACGCCACCACGTGTGTGTAAATAAACGCGCGTATATATCAGCAGGCGTGTGTCCTGCTCCGTGGGTGCGTGCCCACTGCGTCCATGCACGCTTGTGCTCGTTGATGTGCTCGATACGCTGGCACACGTCGTCTGTGCAGGCAGCTTCAGGTATGTGCATACACGTGAGCTTGTGTACGGGTGTGCATGTGCTTCACTCGAGGGTGTCTGCACGAGCCCAGCTGCGTGTGTCATTTCTGCAGGGACATGTTCCTGTGCACAAGTGGCCGTGTGTGTGTGTGTGTGTGTGTGTGTGTGTGTTCCTGCTGGTGTAACAACACGCACACCTCAGGATCCAAGCTGTGCAAGGTGTCTGCAGCTGTCTGTGCCTCTCCACACCCATCCGGAGGGCTGTGAGCAGGCGCGTGGTGCTCGCCGTGTGCTTCACACACTTCTCCCCGCTTGCACGCGCGTGGTCCGGGTGCTGGGGTGCGTCTTCGCAGCAGTCTGCATGTGGCTTTGTGTACTCCCATCCTTCTGTACGCACACATCTCGTCTGGATGTATGCACTCGGGCACAGCAGCATGTTCTGTGACCTGTCTGGCCGTACCCTGTGAGGGGACATGCCAGGCCTACCCCCTGTGTGCATCCCTCGCGTGTGTGTGTGTGTGTGTGCATCCAGCGCGTGCCCGGCAGCACGGCCCATGTGCACGGGGGCCTGGGCCCGGCCCTGCTCCGTGTCTGTGAGGCTGCAGTCCCCAGACTGCTGAGGTTTTTAAAAACAACCCCAGGACTGATCAGATTCAGGAACCGTCCTGCTGCCAGGGACAGGCGGGAACGATTCGCCCCAGTACCGTTTCCTGCCTGGCTGAGGGAGGTGCAGCAGCACCGTGTACCTGTCAGCCCCACGGATCTCACTTGGCACTGCTGAAAATCTGATAACTCAGCAGAAAGCTGCTCGATTCACTCCTCGGGAATGATGAAGTTTCGCTGAGCATCCCCAGCACAGCGACGGAGAGCTGGCTCTGGGGAGACCCTGCTGGCAGTGAAGGCGCTGCCATGGGGCTGTGCCACCAGGAGGCCTTGCCCTCAGGAAAATCTGCTGTGGAGAGGGTGTCCTAGCAGGGAGTTTCTTCTGGCCTCAGATTTACCTCGTAAACAGTTTCCTTGTTATTTTGGCTCATATTAACAAGGCTCGGTGCTGCTGCAGGAGTGCTGGGATAGATGAGGAGAGAATTCATCATCGAGCAGTTGGACAGTGCCGAGACCAGTCCTGTGTCAGGGTGACCCCCAGGAAGGGGCAGGAGTAGCTGAGGTTTACCCAAACATCACAGGTTAAAAAAAACAATTTGGCTATTCCTAGGTCGCCTCCAACTTGCAATAAAAGGAGTTGGCTGCAGCTGTGCTCAGCACGATCAAGGAGATTGCAATTAAAGCCTGAAATGTGGCCAGGCTGCTTGAATCGCAATGGACTGAAGAAGTTGTAAACTCTGTGTGGTCAGTCTTTTTTAGGTAATTTATGCTTTCATTCCTAAAAACTGCTTCAGAAGATGCACTTTGTGCCTCGTTAGAAGGCCTGGGCTGGCAGGACTAGAGAGAGGAAGTTGCAGAGCTGAACTAGAGGATTTCTCCAACTCCGGTCTAGCCTCGGGCACCACTCCTGTGGGGCTGTGCTGACCTCTGGATCACAACACGTGTGGCTATGGGGATACTTCAGCCTTACACCACACAGCTTCACGTGGCTGCTTTGTGACCCTGGTCTTTTTTTTTCCCCAGATTTTACCTGGGGCAAGCTCAGAGGAAACTCAGTGAGGAGGACGAGGAGCTGGGCCCTGGGTGGTACCAAGTTACACAGGGAGGAAGCGCTCGCTCTCTGCCTGCTGCTCGTCCCTGTCCTCACCCCATCCCTGCCTCCCCAAAGCTCCTCTGAGCGTGAATGTCCTGGGGCTGAGGAGCTGCTCGCTGCTGAGCCAGAAGGGCAGGCACAGCTTTCCTCCTGCTCTCATCTCCGCCGTGTGGCCCTGCCGCAGCGAGTGGGAGCAGGGTTGAGGTGATGAGGGGCACGGCTCGGCAATGTGAAGGCCTTTTGCACCTGATGCCCATTCCCCAGGGAGCTTGGCGGATGGACATTGCCTGCTTATGGTTTCCTTGAGTTTTGCTGAAGTGGTGAGGAGGGGCTGTAGGCGACGTGGGGGTGGGAGCTGAACCTGGCTGATGGGAGATGTGATCCCTCCAATGCGTGATTTCAACCGGGAGGTTGGGAACCACTTCCAGGCACTGGCTGGCCCGGCCAGGGGCTGGTTCCTTGCCTGTCCAGGTGACAACGCTTGGTCCTTTTCCCCCAGTGCTGGCTGCTGGCAGCTTCGCTTTCCCCCGGTGCCCCTGGTGGCCAGCCTTGGTGGCCTTTCCCTCGAAGAGGCCCTCCAAGATCTGGCCTGACCCAGCCAGGCATGGTAGTGCCCCTTTGCTCCTGCAAGAGACGGAGAAAGCCTGAGCTCCCCTGTCCTTTCCTTGTGTTTCTGCACTGTGCATGCCGCTCTTTCCCCTGTAGCAGGCACCTGGCATTGCTCTGCCTTGTACCCGTATCGCAGCTCCCTTCCCGGCTCTGTCTGGATAAAGGAGGAGTGTGGTGGGGGACATTTTTGGGGGTGCTTGCAGGAGAAACCTGGAGGCTGCTGGGCAGAGGGAGCATCGCCTGCCGTAAATCCTGCCTGGAGCTGCAGGGCAGGGAGCCCCCGTCGGGCTCTCAGTAAGGCAGCCACCTTCTGTGGCTCTGGGCAGCTGTTTGATCGAGCTGGTGATCTTTATCCACGCAGAAAAATAACGGGATGACCGTGCTCTGGTGCTGCCGTGTGGCTAGGTAAGAAATTGCCTGGAAAGGTCAGCAGGCAAGGATTAGGTGGAGGCTATGGGACCTTTAAGCTTTTGTGTCTCTTTGCTGGAATTCAATGCAGAACTGATGTGGGCTATTTTCAGTGAGTCACATTATTTGGTATATTAAACTCAAAAATGTGCCAAGCAAAAAAAAGCTGGTAATTTTTGCAAATACTTTGCACTGATGTCATGAAGCTATGCAGTTCAACACAGATGCCCTGACATTTAGCTGAGCTAGTAATATGCCATTTGCGGACGGATGCTCATCTCTCAGGTTTTTAAGGACAAGTGTCCGATGTGTCACGCTTAATCAGAGACAGATTTCCTCCTCAGCTACGACTGCGACAAAAGTGCTTTTCTGCTCCATCATTTTCTTTCTTCGTGGCTTGCTTTTTGGGTTGTGTTTGTTTTGGTGCTTGATATCCACATGACGTTATACACGAGCAGATTGGGGTAAGGCTGGCTGAAATGCAGACTGTGTGCACAAGGTAATAGCACATGGCAGGCACAGCGAGGAGATGCGATAGGTTTGGACAAGTGTGCCTGGGGTGTGCCTGCGCGTCTGGTGCTTTAGCCTGAAAAAGCACCTCAGGCTTTAAGGAAAGAGTTAATAAAGGAGCCGATGACAATTGACAGAGCTTCTCTGATCACCCCTGGGAACACCGGCTGTAAAAGTAGAATCGTTCCTGAAGAGGAATCTGATGCATGATTAATGTTTATTCTATAAAACCAAGGGTCCTGTGGGTTGTGCTGGCTTTTTATAGCTGCATGGGAATATCAGGATAAGACTTTTCTTGCAGAGCCAGGGAAATGCATTTCTATAAAAGGAAAGCAGTGCCTCCTTATAAAATCCAGTGCTGGAGCGCGTTCTGGAGCCCCAGCTTAGCAAGCCGTGTGCACTCACAGAAACGTGCAAAGGCAAACAGACCCAACCGTGCTCGTGCCTGACCTCCGCCCCGAACCGCAAGCGATTTAGGAGAGGGCAGCGCGCTGAGTGCCCGAGACCCCGAGGACACAGTTAGTTCCAGCGGAGCACGATGCGTGCCGCAGCTGGCAGAGCCACCCCATGCTGCCAGCGGCCTCGTGGTAGCGTCACCCAGCCGTGCTGCTGTCATGCAGCCTGGAGCCCAACGCGCTGCCTCTGCACAGCCTCAGTCTCGCCTCCCGGGGAGGCTCCAGCCGCTGTGGCCATCGGCAGCGTGGCCCCGGGCACGCGTACGGTGCCGTGGGGCACACTCGCTCGAGGAATCCTGAACTGCGGGGCTGGTAGCGGGAGCGCGGCCCTTTGGGCTGTTTCTGGGTAGACGTGAGCAGCTCGTGGAGGGTTTGATGTCGGTTCAAAGCGAAATTCCCCGGGCTGGCCGTACTTCTGTCGGCTTTTGAAAGTGAACTCCCGGATTTACGGCTTCCACACAAAGCGTAAGAGGTCGGCGGGGGGGACGCGGCGTGAAGCAGATGAAGGAAATTTAGCAATAATGGCTCTGCGAGGCGGTTCAGTAAAACTTCAGAGGCGAGGCTGGGCGAGACGGGGAGGTAACATCCTCTGTTGTGTTGTTTGCTTGCTGCTGGTTGGCTGGGAAGATCCGCCATGAGGAGAAGACGTGCTATAAGGCTGTCCAGACGAGCGAAGAGGGGCCGTCGGCCTGCGAGTACCAGGGTCCGCTCATGGTGCTGGCCCAGAACTGCGCCGTCATGCACAACCTGCTGGGGCCAGCATGCATCTTCCTGAGGAAGGGCTTCGCAGAAAACAGGCAGCCTGTACGTAAGTTACACCCAGCCGGGCGAGACACGCACAAAGCCGTGTGGACGCGAGCCGGGGACGCGGAGCTGCCCGCGTGCTCCCTGTGCGTGGAGCTCCGTAACCCCCAGCCCTGGGTCCTGGAGCATCCCGGCTCCAGCTAACGCAGTCACAGGCAAAGGTCAAAGCTGAAGCATGTGCAGAGAGGTCCCTTTGCCTGAACGGCAAGAAAGGATGATTTAAACAAAAAAAAATGCAGCTATGGAAGATAGATCCAAGCCTACACTCGAGTAGATGTAGTCACATGGATTCAGGAGAAGGACTTAAGACCCCGGGACTTGTATAATCAGATGGACTCTGGAGGAGTCCAGTGTTCAAAGCTGTTATTCCAACAAGACATTCACATCTCATTCCCAGAGGCTCAAATTAGCATTTAGGGCCTAAGTAGCCACTTAGATGCAAATCAGAGTATCCATATTGGGAACAAGCTGTCCCACAGAGATGCCCGTATTTGTTACTGTTCCTGTCAGCTCCCAGCGAGCATGCTAATACAAGCAGAAATGAGCATGCATCTGCCTCCTCACAGAAGCCCAAATGCAGTCTCTTGTACGCTTTCATGCACAGCCTGACACTGCAGCCATCCTAGCCAAATAAATCAAAGAACATCAGTCTGGCCTCGTATTTGCAAATAGTGCCAGGCTACCAAATGCTATTGTCCCTGCACACACGGATAAACAGAGAACCACGTCTGTCCACCCCGTCACACCTCCTTGTAACTGTGCTCATATGCTTCTGATGTAAATGTTTATATATAAGCAAAGAAAGTAGGTATTTTCATGTGAATTCAGTATCTTTATAAGCAGTAGAGCGTATTTTCTGCACATATACATTAGATTTCTACAGTAACATGAATGTAAAGACATACGCAAAGGAATCATTGACACACGTTTTCTGGATATGCGTAAGTGGACATGTGTTGTTTTACATTAATCCAGTGCACTCCATATCCTCTGGTGAAACAAAGCTCACCCCAGTTTCCTGACAGTCAGGGCTTTCTCGCCCCTATAAGAAATGTCTCATATCCCTCTGCATGGGCACGGTTATCTGCAGCTGTAGGAGACACCTAGAGCTTGATTTCTGAAACCTCATCTTCAGCCATCAACCTAAAAAAGATCCGTCAGTCATTATTGATCACAGGGCCTTTGTTCTTGTTAACCTTCAGCCGCTAAGTGATCACACATGCCTTGAGCCACTTCACTCACCCCCAGGGCATGGTGTTCTCACACCAGTGCACCTACTGGTGCTGGCTCCCCACCACAGGACACGGGCCCAGCTCCCAGTGGAAGGCTCACGCTGACAGAATCCATCCCGTTCAGGCCCTGGGAACTCACCGTACCCCAAGGAGTTTCCAAAATGAGATCAGTGATGTCTCTACCCTGGTGTAGCATAAGTGTACCTGATCAACAGCTTTACTTCTACTGGCTGTAGCGCAGCAAGACTGTGCATAGAGCAGAAATAAGTGAGAGTAAGGCCATGGCGTACCATGACTCTCTGAGGGTCACCTCTGCTCATATTTGGGTTCTGAACAGTTTTGTTCCTCTTTCCATATGTTCTCCAAGAGCCTTAGAGTGATTCAGCCCATTTCTTCCCGAGCGCTTTTCCTCCTTAATCATTTCGGGGGATCTTTTTTTTTTTTTTTTTCAAATTTAAACCAGAAAACCTCTCCGTGACGTTAGTTCCCGCTTGAGTCACATTTTTGGAGGGACAGAAAACCCTCCCCCTCCTTCTGCGTTCGCAGCCCGCGGCTCCGTGACGCTCGAAGCCGCGCGTGCGAGGATATGCGCAGAGCCCCGCCGGCGCCAATGCCCTGGGGTGCGACACCCGAGCCGGTGCTGGAGCCCCCGTTCCCGACGCGTGTCGGTCGCAACGTGGCCTTCGGTGAGCGGGGAGGAGGACACTCTCGTGACGGCTGCGCTGGAGGTGTCGGGACCGTCGGTCACCTGCTGCAACGGGGTGGGAGGGCGGTAAGGCCTCCTGCGCCCGGCCCCAGGTGTTGGGGGGGGAGCCGTTTTATTTCTTGGCGCTGATGGAAGCAGAACAAATGGGATGACATGTTTGAAAATACCAGGTCTGTGAGGGATGAAGCCGCGGAGCCAGCGCGCTCCGGCAGCTCCATCCAGCACAGAGATGCCTCTGGGAAGGTTATGAGCGGCGAGCTGGTCACTTCTCTGGCACAGCCCCCTCTGCACAGACATAAAGCAGCGGGTGTCCTAGTTTGCTGTGCGCTCCGAGCAGCCGCCATTAGTTGCCAGAGGAGCCCGTGGTTAAATAGCAAAGGATCATCCTTCTCAAACCCGGCAAGGACACCGGCTCCGGGGCCGTGTGGGGAGGCTGCAGGACACCTGGAAGGCAAGGAGAAACTCCCCACGGTTGAGGGGAAAAGCCGAGAGTCAGCCGACAAAAGAGATGGCGTTTCTGTGTTTCCAAATTCTCAGATGCTTTGGATTTGCCTGGGAGCGATGAGAGGAATTAGGAAGGGCGTTTAAACCCGAAAGCAGTGCATTTCCATGCTCATCTCTTCTTCTTGGTGCAGTGGTGGAATTTTCCTATGCTCTTTTATATCCTCCCCCTCCTTCCACGAAATTGAAATTGGATGTTTGAAGTTGCAGTGTTTCCTGAACATGGTGAATCCTCGTCCTGTTTCGTTTGTAGATGACCTTGACGATGTACCTGTCGTGTGTCTGCCCTCATGCCTGGTTTCAGAATGCCTGTATGGGGAGCCGAGGCTGGGGGGAAGGGGCAAGTCCCTCCCTTCCCGGGGGGACTGCAGGAGATGGCACTGGGACGTGGGCTGTAAGAGAGCTCCTGGCTGTCCCTGTCCTGCCAGCAGGACAGGAATCAAGCAGGGACGCAGGCAGATGATGGTACAGAGCTTCTGGCTACCGGAGCAGCTTCCAGCTGGTTTGATCTGGCCGTTTCAGCAGGAGCTCAGGAGGATGCAGTCCCAGCCATAGAGCAGCTGCTGCAGCGCCGGTCTCTGCTCCAGGACTCAGTGCTGGGGAGCGATGCAGGAGCCCTGAGAGGTGCTCAGAGCACCAGCAGGTGGGGAGCCCACACGCAGGGCCCATGCTGGCCCAGGTTCCTTCTGTCCTGGGGGAGCATCTGTCACCCCCCGTCCAGCAGACAAGGAGAGGGGCTTCCACGGGGAAGTGTGCAGGCTGAAACCCGCCCTGGTGGGGAGGAGAGCTGGGAAGCCTTGCTAGGTAGATGGTATTAAACATGTCATCGCCTTCTTGTTTCTTCTCTCACTTTCTGGCTCGTCCCAGAACTGTTTGCACCACCGAGTGCTGTTCTGAAACTGCGGCTGCGGCAAGCCAAAGGCTTTAACACAGTGTGTTCTCTTTTTGCAGGATAGAGAACTGCGCCCAGAAGAAATCGAAGGTAAAACTTGTCGCTCCTTCTGTGTCACCTTTCTCCCTGTCCAGGCTGGTCATTTCCAGGTTGGCCCTCAAGGGGTGGTAAAATAATCTGTGGCAAATCAAGGGAGGTGATTACTGGAATAATTCCTGGCAGCCCAAGCAAAAGAAATAGTATGTAAAAGTGCAAGAGTGCTGGCTGTGGAGGAATTTGCATCTAATGCAGCTTCTTCAAGATGGGAGGATGAGTGAGGTAATGGCATATGGGCTGCCAGATAACTGCTGTACACCCCAGCTCCCATGGAAAGCATTGTAAAGGATGGCTGTAGGGAAGTTGTTTTACCTGCTAACCCCTACAGTGATGGCTATAGAATATTGTGTAGGGGTAAAAGTTGGGAAAACTCACTGCTTCCAGTGCCTTTAAGGAGTGCAGTTCAGGAAAAATCACTTTGTGGTACTTCAAAGCCTCTGTAGTCACAGCACGCTTTCCTGAAAGGGATGGGTCAGCTGTGCTGCTGCTAGAAGAGCTTGACACTGCTGCAGTCGTTGTTTCTTCACAGCGAGATCTGCTGGGAACACACGCAGTATCTCAGGGACCGGCCTCATAAAGTGCTGCTGGCGCTGGGGAGGTTTCTTGGAAAAGGTGTTTCAAGCTGCCTCTGACAACATTGTTCTTTTTGGATCCACTCCCACAGAATTAAGAGAAGCCTTTAAGGAGTTTGATAAAGACAAGGATGGGTTTATTAACTGCAGGGACCTGGGGAACTGCATGCGAACCATGGGCTACATGCCTACTGAGATGGAGCTGATAGAACTCTCCCAGCAGATCAACATGAACCGTGAGTAACACCCACCCTGCTGAACCTCTCTGGCTGCTGTGCCTGCACTGCTGCTTTGGGCTGTTTGTTTCCTGCTGTCTCTGTTACTTGGTGTTCCTTTCCCTCTCATTTTTGGTTGTCATTTTAGCTCCCTCTCATCCCTCTGCTCATTCGTAGCCCCTAGCAGTCGATGCCCTTTTTAGTGCTTATCAGATGAATGGGTTGTGTGGACTGTGCTGTATGGGAGCAGCATGTGGAAGGGTTGTCTTCCCTGCTTATGCTGCCAGGTGTAAAACTGCCCTCAATCTGGGCAGTTAGACCTTGGTGTTCAGCTCGTGGACGTCATCATGCTGAGGCTGGTGTCAGATGATGTCGGACTGAAGGCGACGACTGGAAGATGGAGATGTTTGGGTCAGAGTGGGAGGCGGAGGGGCTGCTCACTGCTGTGGGTGTCTGTGATCTGCTGTGCCCCTGCGGGTGGGATGCAAGCGAGCTGTGCTGGCAGCGCCGGGTGGGGGGCAGCTGCTGGAGTCACTGTGCTTGTGCCTCTTGTCTTTCACCATCATTTTTGTCACGACTCGTCCGTGACAGTGCAGGATGTTAGCCCTCAGCCAGGTGGGAGAAGGGAAACTCAGTGCATGTTCCTGACATAGGCTGATGTAGGAAAGACGAGTTACCTGGACAGGGAAATGGAAGGAGTTGTGACATACACAACCGCTCGTGCATAAAAACAGCTGATAACCACGGCACACAAAGAGTTAGGAATTTGAGAGTGTTATTGCCAGCTGTCAGATGGGGGACAAACAAGAAAAGGGACAAATATGAAAATTAAACAGTTGGACATACATTAGCCACTGCTAATGAACCAAGACTCCACCACTGCTGCAGGGCACTGCCAGGGCATGCAGGAACGTCATGCAGTGCCCTCGCCATTTCTTTTGGCACAAGTGCAGCAGAGGGTTGCTATAAGCTCTAGTGGGACCAAGCCTCTAACACTCAGTACGTGATGCCATAAGGATGTAGCAGTCCATGGCAACACAGGCTGGAGTAGCTTGGGCTCATTCTGCATATCCCACAATCCAGGAAATACAACAGGCAGTGTAAAACTACCTCTGCTTTTCCTTCCACTCTCCTGCACCTTCTGTGCTTTGCTTCCTGGAGAACCAAGCCCTCTGGGCACACAGAAGTGCAAAGTGAGCACTGGGCTTGGCTAATGTATGGAGTTCTTACACGCAATCTTTCGTCTTATCCCAAGTGGGTGGCCATGTGGATTTTGAAGATTTTGTTGAGCTGATGGGACCAAAGCTGCTGGCAGAAACTGCAGACATGATTGGTGTAAAAGAGCTCCGTGATGCCTTCCGAGAGGTGAGTGCTCCCCACCGTGTGCCCCTCAGAGAGGTGAGCAACAGGAGACAGGAAAGAGAGAAGACTCACTGGGGAAGAGAAGAGGAGGAAAGAGCAGCACAGTGGAAGACTAAGAGTCAAGCCAGACATGAAATGAGGGAGGAGCAGAGAAAGTCACTAAGATAAGGGAGCCCTTGAGGCAAGGAAGAGGAAACTGATGCAGTCAGAGCAGTAATGAGGGGTTTCTGAGGACAAAAGACAGGCTGGATCCAGACCAAATGGAACCCGAAAGAGAAAAAGGAGGGATGCAAAGGAACGCAGAAAAAATAGGGCACTCAGGAGCAGGACAGTACAAAGTCCAACCCAGAGCAAGATCCGTTTCCATTAACTGTATTTCCCCGGCTGGTATTTTTCATGTGCTTGCAGTTTGACACCAATGGCGATGGGGAGATCAGCACCAGTGAGCTGCGAGAAGCCATGAAGAAGCTTCTAGGACAGCAGGTGGGTCATCGGGATATCGAAGAGATCATCCGGGACGTGGACCTGAACGGCGATGGGCGTGTTGATTTTGAAGGTGAGAGGGGATGAGTGCTCCCTGTGCAGCTGCTCTAGTGTGAGTCAGAGTTTCAGCTCGGAGGCGGAAGCAGAAGGGAAGATTTGCATGCTCTGGGCCCAGGGATCCAAAATGTGGACAAACAAACAAACAAACTAACAAACAAAAACAAATACAGTTCTTCAGCTGAAGTGTTCATTTGTGTATCTTCTCTTGTTGCACCTCAATTTCAGTCAGGTCTCCATAGCTCTCACATGGAAAGGGAGATGCCCTGCCACAGAGAAACAGCTTCTGCTGTACCCGTGCAGCATCAGACTTTTTACAGGGCATTTTCCTTTCCATTAAATCTATTGCAAGAGCTGTGAGAAGGCTGTATTTGTTTGGAAAAAGCATTGCACCTTCCATTTCCTCTGTCTCACCTTATTATCTGGGTTTATAGAGAATTTGTTTCTGCACTGTTATGCCAGGAGATGGTCACATGCCAGATGTGCTCAGTAGCACTGTATATATCTAATCTAGATGTGTCATGTTAAATCCCACAGATAATTCATTTCTTCTTTCACTTTCCGTGCCAGAAGGAGTCGGAAAAAATACGAGCAGTTCGGCTACTATCCTAGCCATTAGCCGTGGCAGGAGTGATGTTGATAGAGCTCAGGATTCCTGGCAAGGGAAGCAGTTGATATCATCAGACAACTAAGAGGATAATAGAGCTGGAAGGTGTGAGAGCGTGGCAGGCTGCTTGTTTTCCTGGTGCAACCCTCTGCAATCAGGGTGAAGCACAGTAACGACAGAATTAAAATAAAATGCGTGTAATTTTTTGGCTCAGAGGCATTCCTGGATCTCCTACATGGCAAGGAGTCTCAGTCCTGAAGTTTCTGAGGGCTTTGGAAATGCTAAAAACTGGAAATGCCTCCCTAGAAAGCATCGGGTAGCTGCAGCAGTTGTAATGCACTGGCTGATTACCTGACAGTAGCTCTCCTTGTTTCCCACAGCTAAATTATGTTAGACAGCTAAAATACATGAAATGCTAGCCCAGTATCATTTTCTCTGTGAACTGCTGCTTTAGTTGTCAAAGGACAGCTCCATCAATGGAAAAAGAGAAGTCAAGGGGGTAATTTCCACTGCCCTTCTCTTCGCAGAGTTATTAATTTCTGGGCAATTCAAGCGCAGAGTGAAAACGCATTTCTATTTGATGGCATCCACACTCAATTTTAACAAGTGTAATTGACTCCACAAGCTGCAGGGTGGTGAAGAAATAGATCCAGGGTGTCCTTACCGCTAACCTGTATCTTCCAAAGCAAGGAATCCATCAAAGTAAACTTTTCTCTGCCAGAGCACCGGTATTACCAAAACACTTTCCAACACCGGTGTTTCCTTCAGCTGGCAAGCTCACTAAGAACCTGCTGTGCTCCCAAGGCTCTAAATCAATGTTCCCTGAAATTACGGCAAAGGGAGGCGACACTTGCCACAATGTGTTGCAAGGGGTTGCTTGTACAAACAAGCCTGCCTGCGTGTAGGCTGGCTGGGAAGGAGTTGGAGCAATGCGCTGCCCTGCTGGCGGGGTCGTGTCGCTGTATCTAACACAAGGATCAGAGCCCCTCATGTGTGGGGGCTCTCCAGGGCTGCTTCTGGAGCAGCACAGACCTGCCGTGTGGACTCGGTTTCCCCAATTCCACCCCGGCTGCATGCTGCCTCCAGGGAGTGAGAGCTGGGGTGGGGACCTGGAGGTCTTTCACTTCAGGGCTGTCTTTTCTTGTCGGTTGCAGAGTTTGTTCGCATGATGTCCCGTTGAAGGTTATTCTCAGCTAACGAATCAGCACCTTAGAGAGGGCAGAAGAGGACCTAGATGGAGCATCTAGCCCCGATGTTCCCACATGAAGGTTAATCGGCTGGCTGCAACTGGGACATTGCAAGATGACCTGCTGCTCCTTCCTCACGGTGGTCCCCATGCCCCTCCACCCTTTCACACTGTGAAAGACTTGCAACTTCCTACAACTGGAACCATTCCTTCAAGATGACTGCAGGAAACCGCAGAGCCGGGACTTGCCATGATGCTTTCATGGGATATTTGCAACTTCAGACTCCTCCTCCCCAGCCTCCCACCAGCTGCTGCAAAGCGAGAGCGGGAGAAATCCTGGTGGCTGGGTGGATGAGAACAAAGCCATTGGGACTGGTGGCGGCCTCAGGGCGTGCTCTGCACTTCTTGGTTTCCCTTGGTGAACCGTGTCTGTGTTTGCTGTCTGTGTGTGTGTCAATCTGTGTGGGGTTATTTATGCTTCCTCAGCACATATTCGCATCTCCTGTGGTTATGTTTACCAAGAGAAAATTCAAATACATGTCTTGCGGGGGGAAAGCGATAAATCTGCACGCTGAAACGAGGTGGAGCCTGGGTGTCCGTGTGAGAGGCGGCGGGGCTGGGGGAGAGGGGCTGGGCCAGATGGATACCGGGGCATCTACTGGGGTCTGGGGACGAATCCATGGTGCAGGACGTGGAAACAAAGCTGGCCATGAAGCCTGCAGCTGGGCTCTGCCCTGCCTTCTGCTGGCCCCAGTGCCGAGGAGCCTGGAGGCGAGGGCAGCATGGAGGGCCCCCACCCCTCCTCCCCACCCCTTCGGCCTTGGGGTAAGGAGCAGTGGGAGGAATGGCTGTGGAGTGGGGCTGGGTGGGAGGGGGACAAGCAGCAACAGCCAAACCTCCCTTTCCAGACTGTTTCGAACACCGCTGTCAGCGTATGCACAGAGCGGGGCCGTGCTGCAGGCTCTGTGCTGTAATGCTGCGGCTCCATCCCACCGGAGAGTGCTGCACCTGCCTGCAGCAGCGACCAGGGCAGCAGCGTCCATGCCCTACGTGCTGGTTCCAGACACAGTCCCCCCTTTCACCAGGATGCTCACAACCTCCCACTCCCTTCCCCTACCCCACTGGACCTGCAGTCGCCCCTTTTCCCTATGCAGTCCCAGTCACAAGTCACCGGGACTAATTTCTGCTCGGCTTCGAAAGGCATCAGCGTTTCTGTGGGTTCCACGGTGTAAATGGGAGTTGTTTTCCTCTCAGTTGCCTTCTTCCTTCAACTCGGAGATAAGGGACCGATATCCTTCTGCTTCCTTCATCTCAGATCTCGCACTTCCCAGGTTCCTCTCACATTCTCTGGTCCCACAGATCCGTGTCCCCAACAAGGACTTTCTCTTCTGCTTTGCCGTTGCTGTGCCAGGCAGCGCAGCTGCAGCAGCGACTGATATCCCAGCAGTGGGAAAACTGTGGTTCTCTTAGTGTGTGTGTGTAGCTGTGTTTGCACAGCCGTGTGCGTTGGGCAAGGTCTGTGTGTGCACACGTGAAGGCAGGGAGCGCAGGTAGGTACCTGTGAGCGCAGCAGCAGCAGGGTTTATTTGCAAGTTGGGTGCATGCGGGCTCTGCACCTCTCCTTGTGTAGCTGGCCCACTCTTAGAGCCAAGAAATTGGAAAATGTGTATTTACAGCTCTCTGTATTTATGGGTACAGCAGCTCAGGAGAGCAGGGCAATAAAACTGGGCAGAGTCCTGCTGCCTGTGCTCACCCCGGGGAGGGAGCAGGGCCTGTTGGGCCTGTGCCTGCCCCGGGCAGTGCTTGCACACCAACTGCTCTGCCTACAGCCGAGCACTTGAGGGGCTGCCCTTTCCCATCCGTGCTCCCTGCGTTTGCAGCCTGGCAGAGCCGTGTTTGTCCTCCCAAGAAACGGGGACGCCGGTGTTAGGGGAAGGGCGGCCACAGGGCACCTTGGTGCCATATCAGAGGCAGCCCTGGAGCCACAGCTGCTTTCAAGGAAAGCTGAGCCTGTTCCAAATGAGCCCTGGCTGCTTTCTGCCAGTTTTTGCGGTGACACTGAGCAGGTCACACAGGGCAGATCTCCCGGCTCTGTTTTTTCCTCCAGCAGAAGCTCTTGCTGCAAGCCTGGCTTTATTTGCATAAGAAAACCCGAGTAATCCCAGGGAGTTTTACTACTTTCTTGTGCTGGCAGGGTCAGAGATTAGAGCTCCAATCTAAATAATCTAATTCCAGAGATAATCCTTTTGCTCTCCTCTTCAAACCCCTACCAGGGAGGCTTCCAAAGAGCTCCAGGCAGCAAGGCAGAGCGGGGCGGCCAGGAACCGGCCCCCATAGCGCTGTGGGGTCAGGAGCTGGCCTAGGGGGTGGGAGGACAGCCCCGAGCCTCCCAGCGGTGGGTTACTGGTTCCTGTAAGCAGCGGGTTACTGGTTACTGGGGCTGGTTACTGGTGCAGATGTGGCCTCAGCGGGTCGGTGACAGGGAGCGGGTGTCCAACCCGTGGGTGCTTGGGGCACTGCGGGGGAACCCTCACTGGGGCAGGATGAGGGGGAAGGGGCTGAAGTTGCACCAGGGGAGGTTTGGGTTGGGTGTTGGGAACAACTTTACTGGGAGGCTGTGAGGCACTGGGACGGGCTGCCCAGGGACGTGGTGGAGTCCCCAGCCCTGGAGGACTTTAAAGCCGTTCAGATGTAGGGCTCAGCGCTGTGGGGAGGACTGGCAGGTGGCAGCTCAGAGGCTGGATCTGGGAGGTCTCCCCCAGCCCCTGACGGGGACCCGGGCACAGCCCCGGGGCCGCCCCTGAGGCAGCGGCCGGGCCCCCCCTCCCCCCGCCCCCCTCCTTCCGCCCCGCCCCCCCGCCCGTTGCCCCGGCAACCCGCCCGGCTCCCCGCTTCCCGCCGCCATCCCACCCTGCTCCGCGCGCCGGCCGCGCTGGAGCTCCCCGATTGGCGGAGCGCCCCGGGTGGGCGGGGCTCCCGCACCGTGTGGGCGGGGCTCTCCGCGCCGCGGCTCTGCGGGGCAGCCTCGCCCCCTTCCCGCCGTCCCCGCGGCCGCTCTGCCTCCCCCCCTCTCCCATTGGCTGCCGCCTCATGAATATGCAAAACCACCCCTCCTCCGCCCAATCCCGCGCGGGCGGGGCGTTAAGATATTCACGGCGGCGCGCTCCCATTGGCTAAGACGCGGCCCTCCCCGGTGGCGGCGGGACCGCGGCCGGGCGCCCCCTGGCGGCGGCAGGAAGGGGCGGGCGGGCGGCGGGCGCGGCGCCGGGAGCCCGGGATGGGGGGCGCGGGGGCGCCGCTGCCGCTGTCGGGGCCGCTGCTGCCGCTGCTGCTGCTGCTGCTGGCGGCCGGGCGGGTGCGGGGCGCGGCGGGCGGCCTGGCCGACAGCGTCGTGTGGGCCGTGAACGCCGGCGGGGACGCCCATGTGGACGTGAACGGCATCCACTTCCGCAAGGACCCGCTCGAGGGCCGCGTGGGCCGAGGTGAGGGCACCGGGAGGGGGGGGGGAACCGGGGCGGAGGGACCGGGATGGGGGAGCGCTGCCCGCGGGGCTTGTCCCTGCCCGGTGCGGCTGCGGAGCTCGGCTGGGAACGGGAGGGAGCAGGGGGTGCAGCAGGGCCCCCCCCGGCACGCTGCGGTGCCCCCTGTGGGTGCAGCTCCCCGCGGGGCCGGGCACACGGAGGGGACTGCGCCCCTCGGGGCCTGCCTCTCTGCCCGGGGTTTTCTTGCACCTTGGTCCTGCTCCTGCCTGGGCGCTGTGTGCTGGGCACGGCTCGGCCCCGCTCAGCCGCCCCGAGCACGCCCCGTGCTGTGGAGCCCAGCTCACAGCCACAGCTCTGCGACGTGGCCGCCGGCTCTTCCTCTCCAGGTACCCCCGCGGCTATTCACGGGCTCTCTTCACACTCAGGCTTCCCTCTGACAGGAGCTGACTCTGGGGGAGCCTCGAGCTCGGTATCGCTGTGATCTGGCCCGAAATGTGCGGGTGGGAGGCCAGGTTCAGCCCCTCGCCCGCTGTGTCTCTGCTGCTCACAGCCTCCGCTCTGTGCCCTGGTTTGAGTGGTAAGGAGCAGCTGTGTGCAGCACCGCCTGAGTGTAGTGTGAAACAGGAGACTGAGAGCTGGTGTTAATTTCCTCTCGCTCGTTTGCCTTGGCTCCATCTTCGGCAGTGTGTGCCGGGCTGGTGGTTCCTGCTTTGTCTTGGCCGGTGCCGTGTCTGTTCCCATGGAAATAGGGGTGGAAATGGCAAGTGTCAGCGGAGAACTTGGTCGGGATCAGCTCCTGAGTGGAGTGCCGGTGGGCAGAGGGTGTTCGCTGCGCCCTGCTTGGTGGGGGATGGAGCCTGAGCTCTCAGGGCACGCACCGGTTTGCACTGGGGCAGTAACCCTGACACAACAGGATGCCACGGCAGGGTGAGACCTTCTGAGGGCTGCTCGAGAGGTGGCAAATAAGTGAGCAAGAAGGGGCAACACCTGAGAAAATAACCGAAATCACACACAAAAAAAAACCAAATCTATTTGGTTGTACTGCTTGGGCTCTTCTTGGGGCTCTACAGGTACCTGCAGATGGTGCCCATTGCAGCTGGGTGGCTGATGGAGCTGCTGCTGCTCCTGAAGCCCTCGTGTACCCTCCTGCATTCTTTTCCTGTCTTCCAGCTGATGCGTACTGCGTGGTTGTGGTGAGAAGAGGGGGGTTTCATAAGATCTATGCAATGCTTTTCTCCCTTCTGCCACCCCCCAAGGTTTTCGCTGAAGGAGCGCACGTCTCCAAAACCCGATGCCGTTGCCTCCTGACTTCAGATGTGCTGAATGAATGAGTCCAGTCAGTCCTGAAGTGACTGCTTTGGTTTTGCACTCAGAGTTTGTACTTTGGAAACGTTGTAAAAATATTCCAGGCGTTTTTCCTCTTTGAAGCAGGAGTCCAGGGCCAAGTCCGTTGGCTCTGTGCCCTGTTTGTGAAACCAAGTCTTCTTTTTGAAATGGTGCGAGTGAGTTTGCTCTCTCTTAGGCTGCAGCAGGCCCAGACCTGCTTTTCTACAAGACCCAGGTTCTGGGATTTTGGCTACTCTCTGCTCCTCCAGTAGTGCCTCCTCCTGGTCAGACCCAGGGCAGAAGAGAGGTCTTACTGGGGCAGCAAGTGCTAAGGCCATGGTGGGAGTTAGGCACATAGGAGTAACTCAAGTGTCCCTTCCGTGTGCCTCACCAATTAACCGTTCCTCTCGCTGTTTTGTGCTTGAAATCCAGCTTCCGACTATGGCATGAAGCTGCCGATCTTGCGGTCCAACGCAGGAAGATCAGATTCTGTATCAGACGGAGCGTTACAACGAGGAAACCTTTGGCTACGAAGTTCCCATCAAGGAGGAGGGTGACTACGTGCTGGTCTTGAAGTTTGCAGAAGTGTATTTTGCACAGTCTCAGCAGAAGGTAAGCAACTGCTCCGTGCCACTGAGTTTTACTGACTCTGATGCAAATTCCTGGCTGAGCCTGCGTGCTCAGGCTGCCTCTGCTGCTTTGCATAGAGAGGTGTGAGGTGAGGCACCAGTGGTCAGCTTCATCACAGAGCTCTGAAGAGGGAGGTCTGGAACCTGGAGCTCTCTTTCACATTACAAACACACATTTGGCTTGGAAAACTGCATTACAAAGGAGTGTTCACACGAACAAACACAGGCACCTCTGCATGACTTGCATTAAAGTCTTAGGATCTGTTTAGGCTGCGCTGTGTTTGAGAAATGTTTTTACCTTTCTCCTGGCCACCGGCTCCTGATGCAACTGCATGCCTGTGCCGGAACAAGTATTGCACACACTGAGTCAGGGAAGTGGTCTGGGTAAAATAAACTACTCAAAACAATCTTTACAAATGTAATAAAACTTTATAATGGTTCAAACTGACCGTGGAAGCACAGAGATAAATTCAACCCTCGTTATAGCTCTTTAGAGATAAATAATCCTTGCCTACTTTTGAAATCCCTCCTGTACAGACATGGAAGCAGCAGAACAAAGAACCCAAAGCCCTGTGATAAATTGGGAGAGAAGTGGTGTGTGGTTTGGTCTGGCTTTCCCCCACTCAGTCAGCTGCTTTAGAGCCCTGCTTCTTAAACAGGGTGCCACCTTCCTGCCAGAGAAGTACTTCTGGGAACAGAACTGGTGGGGCTGGCTTACAGATTGGATGCAAAAAACAATCACAGATTAGGCTGAAGAGCTGAGGCATCTTTGGCCGAGTTCTTCTTCATGTGGTTCTGCTGGGATTCCCCAGGTGCTGAGCGAAGTTTGAGTCATTATGGCCCCGAGGAGGACTTTCACTTTGAATTCAGATGTGGTTAGCAGTTCAGCATTTTGCCTCCTTCAGCCCCTGCATCCTGTCAATAGCTTCACCGAGTGCTTCCTGTTCCCTGCTTTGCTTCAGGCAGTTCGTTAGAAACGGCCCAACTCCCTCGCTGTGGTGTGCCGCATCCTCCCCGGGGTGGTAGGAGCAGGCCCTCAGCCAGTAGGTGTAAAGTTGTGGAAGAAAAGCACAAATAAAACAGCAGATTTGGTCTGTCCTCAGTGCTGAACGGCGGGCGTGGGAATTATGTTGAAGGTACGAGGCAAATTTCAGGGTCTTTGAAAGCAACCTTAATGCTTCAGTGTCCTTTTCTGGCTGCTTCTGGCCTCTGAATCCTCCCCAGGGGAGTGGAGCATGCGTGGTGGTACAGTGTGCGTTGCAATGCTCTCTTGTTCTGGGTGCATAACAAGCAGAGACCTTTCCTTTTCTGTTCCCCTTTCAACTGCTGCCTGCCTGAATCCGTTCTGACAGTGTCATTCCTTCTGCCCCGAAGGTTTTTGATGTTCGCTTGAATGGCCACGTAGTGGTGAAGGACTTGGACATTTTTGACAGAGTTGGACACAGCACAGCTCACGATGAGATCATTCCCATGAGCATCAAGAAGGGGAAGCTGAGTGTCCAGGGAGAGGTTTCCACGTTCACAGGAAAGCTCCACATTGAGTTTGTAAAGGTAATAAGGCTTCGCTGGTCAGAGCCCTGAGATTCCTTTTCCCCTTCATCCCCAGCCGTGCGATGTGGCTGTGTGCTGGGGGAGGAGAGGTGGTGGGAGGTGGGGAGATCATTTCTTCTGTCATTATTTCGTGTGCTCACTGATTTCCTTCTTCGCTTTCTCCAGGGCTACTATGACAATCCGAAAATCTGTGCCCTGTACATCCTGCAAGGAACAGTGGAAGGTGAGCTGCGTTCCTGAGCCAGAAGGCTCCTTCCCCTTGGAGAGAGCTCCTTCCCCTTGGAGAGCAGCCTGTTGCTTCTCAGACCATGAGATCATAGTTCCTGCTGACCCACCTCTGCCAAAACCGTTTCTTTTTCAGCAAGTTCCCACAGGGTGCAGTTGCAGAATGAGATAGGTGTCAGTGTTTTCCTACCCTGTAAGCGCACAAAGCTGCGTCATTGGCAGAATGAGTAGTGTGAATTTGGTTCAGGGCTTCCTGAGTACGGTGTAGAGAAGGGAACATGTCTGGTCAGTCTTGGGTTATAGCTGCAGATGAATTCCCTCTGGCCTCAGATGTCAGCAGTGGCCCTGCAGACAAGTAATTTATGGAGCTCTTCTAGCTGGTGGTTGTGTTTCTTACCTGGAGCTTTGTTTTGCTTCCTCAGCTCTGAAGACAAGGCAGTGTTGTTTTTTTCTCAGATCTCAGTTCCTCTGGTAGCACAGTCCTCGCTCTTTCAACCTCTCTGCAAGTCTGTGCTGGAGTTGGAGCCCCTCTAGCTCCTGGGGCAGTTTGAGGATCCCTGTGACTGGTGTTTCAGTTTGCCTTAGCAGTGTTCAGGGATCGCTGAGTGCTCTGTACCTGGTGTGTGTGTGCGGTGGTTGGGAAGGGGGCTGATTTCCTGGGTTAATCCTGCAACCTTTGGTCTTGTTCACCAGATGTTCCAAAGCTACAGCCACACCCAGGTCTGGAGAAAAAAGAGGACGACGATGACGAGGATGAATATGACGATGGCTCCAGCGTTAAAAAACAGGCAAATAAGAACCGGGTTCAGTCAGGCCCACGCACACCAAACCCCTATGCCTCGGACAACAGCAGCCTCATGTTCCCTATATTGGTGGCCTTTGGTGTCTTTATTCCTACCCTCTTCTGCCTCTGCCGGTTGTGAGAGCAAAGCCCCACAGAGCATCAGCCGAGGGGCTGGGAGGGAAGGAGTTGGACCAAACACGGTTGCTTTCAATTTCTCCATACTGTTCATAATTTAAGGAAAAAAAAAACAAACAAAAAAAAAAGGTGATTCATTTGGAATGAATAGCAGGTCCGGGTAAGAGGAAGCTTACCTTCCCCCTGCCAGCAAGCAGCGAGGCCCTCACCTTCCCCTTCGCCATGTGCAGCCTCTGATCCTCCCCGGGGCATCCAAGAGCAAACTGAGTCCTGGCTGTGTACTGGGCTACTGGAAGCTGATGCTAGCGGTCCTGGGCCATGTCCCACGCTGAAAGAAAGCCACGTGCTGCAAGATCTCTGCGTCGCTGGGTGGAACACGGTTCTCTAAGCAGGGACGCAGCTCGTGAAACGAGGCCTGGGTGCACATCTTGTCCGGGAGCCTGGAGGTGTTGTGGTGCTGTTGGGTGACCGACGACCGTGGAGGACAGAGGCTGGTTCTTCAGCATCTCCCTGAACGTGCAGCACGATGTATGGTACTCGCCTGCATAAAGACACCGAGACTCCAGCTGGCTGCTCAGCCTCTGGGGGGACCTTTCCCTTCCTTAGGGTGCAAGCTGTGCCGGGAGCAGAGGGATTTATCTGGCCTGATGTGCTGCACCAGCTGGGAGAGACTTTCCTAGCCTGACACTTGTAATGTTAGAGCTGTGGCCGAGGGATTCCGATGTAGCCTGCAGGAGGCTGGCGCCTGCGTCTGATCAGATGCACTTGTTTTCTGTATTGATTATGGCTTTTGTTTCCTTTAGTATCTTTTTCTTTTCAAAGGTTTGTTTTAAGCCCAGTTCCTTGTTTTGCCCTTTTTAGCAAGCGACCTGTCCTTCCGAAGAAGCTGAGCAGCAGAAGGCCTAAAGAGGAGCTTCTTGGTCCTTGAGCTCCCTGCTCCGTGCAGAGAGGGGCAGCTCGGTGTGTGCTCCTGTGAGCTCTCACTCCCTGCTGGTCCCACCAGGCCTGCCTGTGGTGGTGAGAGGTGCAGAGCCATCAGTGTCTGTGTTATTGTGCATTATCGAGGGGCAGGTGTCTGACATTTCAGTGCTGTAGCACAAGCTGCTTTGTGGCTCTCCGGAGACCCGGAGGCAGGCAGAGCGCTGCAGACGAGGCCCTTCGGTTTCCCCGGTTGCCTGGTGACAGGCTGGCCAGCCGGGTCACCCGCTGTCCCCCGGGGGAGATTTCTGCAGGAGGTTTCTGTTTCCATGTGCAGAGGCTGAGCAGAGCCCTGAGAGCCCTCACGGCACCTTCCAAGGAGCTGCCTTCCCGTGCCCTCAGCCACTGTGCTGAGCGCTCCTGGCTGGTGGCAGGGAGAAGGATTTGGCCCAGATAGGGTCAGCTTCAGTCCTGGTGAGCTTCACCTCGTGCTGGCTGGATCTCACAAGTGTTCTTTTCACCTGGTGCTGCTGCTCCTCCCTGCACCTGACTTTCCTAGGGGTTGTTCTTGGGTTTGTTCTGCAGCAGCTCAGCCTTTCTTTGAGCTGAGAGTGGTTGGCAGCATTTGAGCTGAGCCTTCCTGCTCTGCTGGGCCCAGCAGCTGAAGCCTTTGTTTCTCCCTAACCCTCGAGCCGCGATACGAGCAGGGCTCACGGGTCCTGAAACAGGAGCTGGGGGAGGTGTCACCGTGCTGGTATCTGCAGCAGTGGCACTGAGCTTTCTGATAGCATTCATCGCTGCTCTGGGCCTGGCCATAATTCTGAGGGAGCTAAAAAGCAAGCTGTTGAACCTTAATTAGCTTCTCTCCAATTACACAAGTGCTAACAGCCAGGGTTTGGGAGAAGTGGGTCCCTGCCACGCTGGAAGGAAAAGGCAAGTTTTAGAGAGCAGATCTTAAGAACAAACCCTAGGATGAAAAGGCTTGAGGTTGTCTGCTTCATCTTCCAGCTGCTGTTAAAATCCAGGTGCTTACAGAAGCCTTCAGCACGAGCTCTGTGTTGTTTAGTGACGGTGCCTGCAAAGATCTCCCCGGTGTTTTTTGGGTTACTCTAACTGGAGCACAGAGACATGTAGATCTTTATCAGTTTGAGAAGCATAAACTGCCCTACTTTGTTAAGCAAAGAACCTGGCTTTGAAAGCAGGCTCCTCTGTAAGGAGGTGTTCTCCTCCAGGCCTTTTAGGTTGCTTTTTTTTTTTTTTTTTTTTGAGCATCCTCAAAGCAAGGAATCACTCAGCTTCTTGTGGCTTACCCAGTAATCTCCACAGCTTGCACAGCATGAGAGGAGTGGTGTGCGTGGAGGTGTCCAAGTCTTCTAGGGTGGCTTCTGCCTGCCTCTCCTGGCAGCCAGGGCACCTCTTTGGTGCCACCAGCACCCTGAGGCGAAGCTGTGCAGGGTTTGGTCTGTAGCCTTCTAGTTTCTCAGTTCAGATGAATTTGTCTCATTTGAATAAGAATAGGGAGGAGAAATAGTTCAGTCTTGGCTTCGGTTTAGTCGTTTTGGCTCTGATTTTTGCGTTTTTGTCACTGCTGCAAAGCTGATGCTAGCTCTCTGGGTGACTGGGGCATTCCTGCCCCCGTGATGGTGCTGGGAGCAGTTTTCTTTGTCCCCTCTGCCAGGTTTGACTCGGGAGGAGCCTTCGAACAAAGCCCATGAGTACCCAGGGGGGCGCAGGATAACCCGTCAGCACCTCGCTGGGAGCGGTGTGCTCGGGCTGGCTGCCCTCGTCATCTGCCTGGCACCTGCAAGGCGGCCAGATGGGTGGAAGGAAGTACCTGGCTCTTAAAGTAGACATTTGGGTTGGCTGTGAGCTTCCAGCGCGGGTGTTTGAGGGAATATCCGAGGCAGTGTTTAGCTGAAGCCAGTTAGACATGAGCCTGGCCGTGCTCTGTTGCCTCCAGCCAGCAGCAGGCGGCTGAAGCGTGAGTCCCTGGGTCAGGACAGAGCCCGGCTCAGTGCTTGGAGCACTTGTGTAGAGAGGAGCAGGTAGGGCAATGTGAATAAAGCTTCCCCTTAATAAAGGGGAGGCAACGCTGTCGGTCATGTTCTGAGCCTGGATCCAGCCTCAGGGCAGTGCTGCTTTAATTTCCCTTCATCAGCCCCTGCGTTCCCCCACGGGCGTGCAGGGGCGCAGCTGGCAGTTGTCTCGCTGTGCTCTCAGCTTCCATGTCTTTAGGCCAGGCCATTGTCCATGTCTGTGTGCGAGGCTGAAACAACAGCTCTGACCCTTCTGAGTATCCCAGGTGGCAGGGAGCAGAAAGCCAAATGAATTCCCGTCTTTTTGGTGCCTTTGTGTCGGGCTTTGAATAAAAGTCCATTTGAAGAAGCTTCTCTTTTTAAGGAGCTTCTGAGTTTTTGTGTTGTGTTTTTGTTTTGTTTTGTTCTGTTTGTTTTATCCCCCCAAGGGACAGGCGTTCCCTGCCCCTGTGATCAGCTGGGGACTGTCTCGCTGTCCCTTGGTGCCAGCTCTGGAGGTCACAGCTGAAGCACAGAACTGCAAGCGAGTATCTTTGGTGCCAGCCCTTGGGGCCAGTGGAGAAAAAAAAAAAAACAAAAACATTGCAGGGAACAGAAGAACTGGAAGGGCTCCTTCAGGTCTGGTCTCCCCCAGGCATCTCCTGAAGGCAGGACGGAGAATTGCAGACAGCCTGGTGCCTGCGTGTCTGTGCAGCTGGGAGCAGGGTGAGTCACAGCTGGGTCCTGGTAGTCATGGGCTGTGTAGGGCTGCTGCGTGCTGAGCATGGCTGGGGGTCCTGCTCCCCAAAATCACCTGCCGAGGGCTTCTCCTGCACCGTTGGGGTCTGAACAGGGAGCAGGAACCTGCGCTTTGTCCCTTGGTCTTCCTTTAAGTTGAAATTGCAACAGCCAGGGAGATGTGTTGGTGTTGGAAGCCGGGGTTGAACAGGCCTTTTGTTGGTGCAGGAGGAGGGGAGAGGAGCAGCAGAGCAGCTTCAGCCCTTGATGTGAGCCAGGTTCTGAGCAGCTGCAGAGTACCGAGTGTTTCAGGCTCTGTTTGGTGCCTAAATGTGGGAGAGCTCTGTCTGCTCCGTGCACTTATGTGGTAGGGAAGGAAATATCCTTGCTGAGAGTCCAAGGGAAATGGGAGCTGGGCCAGCGCTGAGCTAATTTACCTACTGGCGCTTCTGCATCTCCGCAACAAATGCCAAAGTCTAATACAATTCAAGGATGCTTTTTTTAACGTCAGCCTGGTTGCACCAGTCTGGCTTCACTGGCTGGTCCCACGCAGGCTCGGCCGAGGGTTCTCAGCGGCACAAACAACGCTGGGCTGGGGCTGCGAAGGCTCAGACGAGGTTGTGTGGAAGAGGCCTCCCGTGCTGCAGCCCTGCTCCACGTGCTGGCCCAGCAGGGCTGGGGCACGTGCATCACCCTGGATCTGAAGGGATTCGTCCCAGGAGCGTCGTAGCAAGCACGTGGGAATGGTGCTGGGCTGGGTGGGAGAGGTGAAAGCAGGTCCATGTCTTCCGGGACTCTGGCTTGCTCAGAGTTTATTGCTGTATATTAAATACTATTTTTGGAGACTGGGGGGAAGGTGCGGGAGGGGGAGGGATGTGGCAGCGCTGTCCCTAGGCTGATCAGTGGGACGCTACTGCAGGTTATTGATAGGTTTTGATTTTTTTTTCCCAAAAAGTGCTTTATTTAAAAATAAAAAAAAAAAAAAGGAAAAAAAAATATGAACAGAAGTGCTTTCCTCCCTCCTAGAAACAGTGCTGGCTGATTAGAAAATGTGAATAATCTTTTGCAAACATCAAAGGTCTCTGCTAAAGAGTTTGTGCGATGGAGGTTTCAAGGCAAGGGGCAAAGTACGGCTTGAACCAGTTTAACTGGGGCGAGTGCGTCTTGGAAACACGAGATCCCTGCCCCGGAGTTGTTTGTAGTCGCATGCAGGGAGGATGTGCTCGCCTGTCCTACCGCGGCCGTTTGTCACACGGTAACAGCTCTTGGCTCCCATGCTGGAGCGAAACATTATCCGGAAACTCACTGAATTTGGACTGCTGTTTTGGGGCTTTCACAGGCGTTCAGGGCTTTCCCACTCTGAAACCAGCCTGCTCGGTGAAGCAACCCTGGAGAAAGGAAGAGCAGAGGCAGGATCTGCTCCTCGTGCCGGGAAGCAGTGGTCAGGACGGTGAGCTGCCGGCCTGGTTCAGCGGTAATGTTGGGGTGCCGTGGGTGTTGCATCCTTAATGTTGGAAGCTGGCCCCGAGACCTGTGCTCATGGCATCAAGGGCACGTCGCAAACTACTCGAAGCTGTAGGTCTGAGCTGTCTGTAAAGGCTGAAGCAGCGTGGGGAGGGATCCCCACCTGCGCTTGTCACCAGTACAAAGGATTTTGGAGGAGGATTTTTTTATTTTACTGTCCATTGCTTTGTGTTATAACAACTTGCAGTGACATTTTTTTTTTTTTAGTTTGTTTTGCAGCAAGCTTGGGCCCTGGGTGAAAAGCACAGATGTCTATTTCTGATTGCATTGGCTTTGCAGAGACTTGTTTTGGGGAAAAGATGGGTGTGGGGGTGGGTTATTTTATTTTTGGTACACGGTAGCTGTTTTATTTTTTAATTTCCCCAGGATGTTTGGTTGAGGGAACGTTCTGAAATCTACTGTCTGGCAGTTTTAACCAGCAGTGTGCTAAAGGAAAATAAACAGAATTATATTGTCACTTGGACGAGGTGGTTGGTTTTCTGTCACTCTGGGGAAGGGGGGGAGCCCTCCTTGCCCCCTCAGCACCGCTGCAGCCCTGAGCTCGCAGCTGAGCCCCTGTCCCTGCTGCTCTTTGTCCCACACCGTCCTGCTGCCACCTCCCCGGCTGCTTGGGGTGATGGAGCATGACCTGCGCTGCACAACATCCTCCTGACAGCACTGCTGCTGCCCTCCTCGCCCCTTGTTCGCCTCAGGAGTGCCAGAAATGCCATCTGCCTCTGAGCTGCCTTGGCTTGAGGTGATGGCAGTGGGAAGGGGCTGTAGGTGGAGCAGAGGGAACGTGGCACGTTCCTGCCCTGGGTGCCCGATCACAGCTGCTCTGAGGCACGAGGGACGTTGGCACCATGCTCTCATGACTCTCCCATCCTGTGCCTTTTCTGAGGCGCTGCTCGTGGCTGGGAGGGACCAAACCCACCTCAGCCAGGAGGATTTGGGAGCACTGACACAGAAAGAGCACTTTGTTGGCAATAGCTGCTTATGGGCAGCAGCAGCAGCCATCAGTACCCGCTGCTCTAAGCCTGTTTCCAGTCACCCCACACACATTCAGTGTTGGGCTCTGTGGGCTCGGTGTCCCCCCAGCCCCGCAGCCTCGGCACAGCACAGTGCGTGCTGCCGCTTCCTAGAAGGAGCAGGGCTCCCCGGAGGACAGAGGCCTCCTGTTCCCTGTAATTAACCCGCAGCCCTGCGGGATTCGGGCCCTGATTCAATTAACGAGCCGTGGCTTCCCTCACGGCGAGGCCTGGGAGCCGCTTTGTGGGGGCCGGCTTGTGGTGCTGCTGGCCCTGTGCCAGGGAACTGGGGCCGTGCTGCCTGCTCGGTGGCTTTATTCTCCCACTCGGTTGGGTTTTATTTCCCCAGATAATTTTTATTTCCCTAGGTAACTCCAGGCTTTTCCGTGAGCCATGCCCCACTGCCATCCGGTTGCTGTGCGCAGCCCCAGGATGGAGGGGCTCCCACCACAGGGGCAGGCACCCCGAGCCGGGCCGTACCGGGCCGAGGCCGCCCAGCAGGTGGGGAACCGGGACCGGGGCACCGGGACCGGGGCCGGTACTGCCTGGGGCGGATACACGGTGCCAAACGGCGGCGAGGCGGGGGTTACACACAGCCCCGCTCGGTCTCCCCTCCGGGCCGCGCACGCGGCGGGCCCTGCTTAGCTTCACGCCCCCTCGGCGTTGCTAGGCAGCGCCCGCGCCCTCTGACCCGCGCAGCGCCGCCCGCCGCTCCCATAGCTACCGCGGGCGGCGGCGGCCATCTTGGCGGCGGCGGCGGGGCGATGAGCGGCTCCAAGGCGAGGGCGGCGGCGGCGGCGGGGCCGGAGAAGAAGCCGCCGCCGGGCACCGGGGGAGCCCTCAGCCGCCTGCGGGGCCGCCGAGGCTCGGGGGACTCGGCGACGCGGCCGGGGGCGCCGTGGACTGAATCCGAGCTGCTGGCGCTGGAAACCGTCCGGCCCGAGCACGTCCTGGGGCTCTGCCGGGTGACGGAGAGTGAGTGAGGGCTGGGGGGGCTGGGGGCGCTGAGGGGCTGAGGGGCTCTGAGGGGATGAGGGGCAGCGCTCTGGGCCCCCCTCATGCTGCTCCGTGCCCCTCAGGCTCGGTGCCGCTGCTGTCTGGGGACCGGGGGTGCCGTCGCTTCATTGCCCGCGGCTCTCTTACAACTTTCAGAAAGTTGTGTGGTCTTTTTTTGTTGGTTTTGTTCTGGGATGCCACTCTCTGCCTTTCTCTCCGGATTCCTTTCTTGCTCTGCTCCCTGGCACCTAGCGCGCTTTTGTTTCTTCTAGCCTCAGTTTTGTCCTGCTTGCCTGAAGCTTCTGAAAAGCAATTTGCTGTACGTATCTTAAGAGGCTAGTTAAAAAGAAAAAAAAAAAGGAAAACACATCCCTTTACTAGTTACTCAGAGATCATTTGAAAGGCTATTCTGTGTTTTCTTTTTCTTCTAGATTATTTATGCAAACCTGAGGACAACATTTACAACATCGACTTCACCAGGTTCAAGATCCGGGACCTCGAGACTGGAACAGTGCTGTTTGAAATTGCAAAGCCTTCTGCTTCAGGTATGTTATCCTAACATCGCAAAGAGGCTAGAGGGACTCAGGGAACTGAGAAGCTGCAGTGCAGGGCTCATGCTAAGCAGAAAGGGCTTTCAGTATCCCTGGTGTCTAAATCCCTTTGCTTTACCTCAACACTGAGTTTTCCTCTGCTGTGGAGTTTCCTAGTTTTACCATAAAAATGTGATAGTAGTGTGATGGGGGAAATATTATCAGCTGCGAATCTTCCCTTGTTGGCTGGGCAGGGCACAGAGTTTCTTACATGTGTTTTGGCAATTACTAGGGGGGATATCCTGTGAGACTGAGGGCGGTTTTAGCTCCGGAACCACCAAGGCTGAGCCAGCTGTCTTATCAGATCTTCTCTGTAGTTCTTAATGCTAGTGTGAGTCTCAAACCGTTTCTTAAATACCTTCACGTTCAATGCCTAAGTACTAGCAAGGCTGTCCTGATATTCCTGCTAGCCGGTATTACTTTACATGCATGCTGTTGGCGGAGTAACTCTGAGCTGGTGCATTTTCTAGAGCAAGACGATGAGGATGAAGATGACAACAGTGAACTTGACGCTAGTGCAGGCCGCTTTGTTCGTTACCAGTTCACCCCAGCGTTTCTTCGTCTTCGGACTGTCGGTGCAACGTGAGTAAGAGTTCATAGAGGGAAGAATGAGATGTTTATACAGTGTCTCTGGCGGTTTGTAACTAGAGTCAAAGGCTAGAGAGAACCCTTCTTGCACTTAGAATATCTAAGCATGTCTTTCTGGAACAATCTGTTGGATTCTTGTGTAGTCTTGGGTCAAAGGCTCTGTTCTTCTCAGTAGGAAGAGAGGAAGGTTCTCTTAGCTGTTTTTTTTTCCTACTTTTGCCTTACAGAGTGGAATTTACAGTGGGAGAAAAGCCGGTGTCAAACTTTCGAATGATTGAGAGACATTACTTCCGAGATCGCTTGCTGAAGAACTTTGACTTTGATTTTGGCTTCTGCATCCCCAGTAGCAGGAACACATGCGAACACATCTATGAATTCCCTCAGCTCTCAGAAGACCTTAGTAAGTACCTCCCTCTCCATACTGAGCTGTTTTGTTTTTGTATGCGTATGTGCTCATTTTTTCCCTCTTGTTTTCCCTCTGCTTGTGCAAAGAGTTGTGACTGGGATGAAGGGACAGGGATAGGTAGATACACGTTCCTCATTTAGGCTGTGTTTAATCCTGAGTCACACATTTGTGCTGCGAATTCTCCACATTTGGAATGAAAGCCCAAGACAACCTGTACTGTCAAGTCACAGGCTGCAAGAACTGGTCAGTTACAGGGCTTCTGTGCCTAATGCCTAACAGAATAGTCCAGAAGGTAGGAAAGCCTTGAAGAAGGGTTCTCCCAGTAGTCACACGGCTGTTTTTAGCGCTTGCTTGTTACAGCTTGAGCCTCCAGCTTTGGAACAGATCTGGCTTTTCTCTGAGAGGTGTGTTTTTGAGCCGCCCAAATCTCTGCAAATACACATTGTGCGGGGTATGTTTGACCTCAGGGGATGGATAGAGCAGGGGCGTGTGGCGTGGGCCCTTCTGTGGCTGCGGGAGGAGGCGCAGTGTTTGCACCTCCTCTGTGTACATGTGGGGAGTGCAGCCCCTTGCTTTTATTTGCAGATTGCAGCCTCTCTGCCTACAGACGATGATTGCTGCTTGCCTTAGCGGAGGCTCTGACAGTTTCCATGCCTTGTGAGAGATTACTCCACCCCTGTTTGTTTGCTTTTGGCAGTGCTTGTCCTGTGAATAGGAAGGGCAGGCCGGAGCCTTTGAAGCGTGCCCAGCAGAGTGGTTTGCTTCTCTTCCTTGGGTAGGGCAGAGCATCAGCCTGGTAAATCCAGCAGAGCAGCAGGGCCCTTTTTATTCTGACTTCGTGCTGCCCACCGGAGTGTGGCAGGCTGTTGAATGTAATTGAGCTTTCTCTTTCACAGTCCGCCTGATGGTTGAAAATCCATACGAGACCCGCTCAGACAGCTTTTACTTTGTGGACAACAAGTTGATAATGCACAACAAGGCCGATTACGCATACAACGGAGGACAGTAACCGTGTGTGTCCGTGGATGCCGTGCTGCCGTTACCATTCCAGATGTCCAGGACCAGACTGGAGTTGTCGTCTCATGCAACAAGACTTCTTGTCAAACCTTTTTTCCTTGCGTGAGGGTGAACACACGAAGCAACGAAGACAGCTCCCAAAAGTAAAGGAACTCTCCCTGCAATGCTTCACTATCCACCATTCTTAACATATCCAGCCTCTGTCATTCTCCATTTCTGGATACCTTCTGGTACCCTGGTTAGGTTATGGATCAGAGGCACTGTTAGAAAACTATTGCTGTTACAGTTTTTATAGCTTAGGTTGCACTTTTAGTGCTTCTGATGTTTCACCTATTGGGTGACTACCCTCTTTCAAGAGGTCAGATTATTCGGGTAAGCTATTTCTTAGCAGGACAATTTGCCCCCTTCGGGTACCACTGACACCTGAAGAGCAGATCTCTTCTTCACTTGGATAGATCATCTCTTCCGTGCATAGTGGTTTAGTTTGTAGCATGGCTGAGGTTGCTTTTTAGGGTGCATCCCTATATTCTCCAGTGGGAAAGATAAAATAAGAGACTAATTCAGCTTCTGAGTGATGCAGGAATCTTCTTTCTATCTCCAGGGGTCTGAGCAGCCCCCTGGGAATGGCTCGATCTGTATTTTACCAGAGATGTCACTAGGGAGAAGAGATGGGGGGGAAAAAGAGGCTTTATCCAGTTTGGTCGTTGAGTCAGTCTGACCGTATTTCTGTCTGAGCTTTTGCAAGCAAATTGCTGAATTTTGGAGCTCAAGGGTCAACCTTAGAGCTGAATTTAATCTCAGGTATATTTATCATTTCTCTTGATTCCCCTTGTGTAGGTTTTTTAGCTCTTGCTACAGAATGTATTGGTTTTGGACCAATGGCACATTGTCAGTCTAGATGGGGTGCAGGGGAGGTGTTGGTTTAGTGGGGCTTAGAGGAGAAAGGGAGAATGGGGAAAATCACTTAGGAAGCAAAGCTTCCTAGGCTTCAATGTCTGAGGTACTTCTATACCTTTTAAACCTGAATGTCAGAGGTGCTGGAAGGAGGGATGGTGCTGTTACCATTTGATTTGTTTCAGCTGAGGTACCAGCAGCTAAAAACCACAGGTCAAATTATTCAGTGTTACAGAGGGGGATCCTTAATGACCAAAACGTGAGAACTGGCATTCTCTTTGTAATTGTCGGAGTTCCCATCACTGCTTTGCCTACTTGGCTGCTTATTTATATTTGAGGAAGTCTCCTGCTGAGTTAGCGACTGCCAGACCAGAGGGTGTCTTCACAGCAGCGTTTGGGATCTGGCAATAGGAAGTAGCAGAGAGCTCTGCCTTCCCAGCAGCTGCGCTGGTGCCCAGCTCCTGACCGAGCAGAACCCCAGCGAGCAGAACCCTTCTCTGCTTGCTTTCTGGTTCGAGTCTGGCGGTTCTGCTGGGCTGGTCAGCCCTGCCTGCTGTGCGGGGGAGTTAAACTGTGTCTGGGCTAGAGACGCTTGCTGGTGTTAGTCCCACTCGTTCCCTGGGATAGCTGAAACCTAACCCCTTGGCAGATGCAGTCGGATACCTGCTGTGTTAAGGCTGATTTGCATAGGTTGTGTGTGAGCAGGATTAATTGGGGCGGGCATCACAGGCTGTTCGTGCGTAGACAGCACTAGGAAGCCGCTGCCTTTCCCTCACAGATTAATGATGGGAGCCTTGGCGTAGAGGATCAGCGAGCAGCAGTGTAAGCAGTGAGAGTATGTGGGGTGGCAGTCACGAAAGAATCTCCAGCTCTTGGGAAGGATTTTTAATTACGATTAACCACAACAAATGATCTGTTCTGGGTGGAGCATTAATCATGAGCAACCACAACAAATGCCTTGGGAATGTGGAGGGGCGAGGTCTGCGTGGCTGAAAGACGAAGAACAGTTGTGCTGCCATCACTCCCCTCCAGCATCTCCAAAGGCACCGAGGGGATCTTGGTTAGTTTTTTCAGGGTTAGTACAGGTGGAGCTCGAGGTGCCTCCTGCAGCAGCTCTTTGGGCGGCCTCATGTCACGCTGCTGAGATGGGAAACTTTTGTTCTGCTGGAAGAATGCTTGTGACAAGGCAGAGCTGCCCAGAGGTGTGCTTTCCACCCCGAAGCATTCGCAGCTGCTCAGGTAGGGTCAGAGGAGGCCGCTAGCTGTTCCCAGGGCGTTTTAGCATATTGAGCTGAATTTTTATGTAGTATAAATCCAGGTGCCTTTCAACGTTCCTTTTATCTCGTTTTCTGTATGAAGCAAACTGCTTTTCTTATGGGTGTGACGTTTCCTGTCTGCTTTCCGTGTCCCCGAGTAAAGATACTTAGGGGAAGGCAGACCGGAGCGAGCAGCAGCAGGCACTGCAGAGGCAAACACCGACCGGTGCGAGCTGCGGGAGGCTGCGGGCGGCTCTGCGGGGCCGGGAGCGTTGCTCGGGCCGCGGCTGCCATCTGGCCGCTGCCTTGCGAAGTGCCACGGGTCAGCCTGAGCACCCTGCTGGTACGTACAGCGTGGGTGCTTGGAGGAGAGCTGATTCCTGTCTTAAGCAGTCATTACCTCAGCCGTGATGAGAAAAAAGCACCGAGGCAGCGGCTTTCCCACTGGTGAATGTATCATCTACTCAGCAATAAGGGAAGGAAAGCTGGAGGAAAGCAGGAGGCTTGCAGGCAGCGCTGGCATCCCTCAGTTTCTAGCTGGGTGCTTACTTTGCCAGATCAGAAGGTCTTTGCCCAAAAAGCATGCTGCAGAAATAAGGCCCTACAAGAGGGCAACCCAGCACTGAAAAAGTTAATTGTAATCCAAAAGGTCAGGGACTTCTGCGCTCACCCCTGAGGTGGGGTGATGGCCTTGGTGAAGTGATCTAACAGCTCTAACAGCAGCTTCCTTCAGTTCTGTGCGCTCTGATGCTGTAACGATGGAGCAAAGCTGCTCACGCCAGTGAGCCAGGAAGGGATTCTGCGGGCATCTCCCCCTTGGCAGGTGAACGGCACCAGCCGGGCACTGACAGCGGGGGAGATGCTTCAGTGCCAGATGGAGCTTGAGCACGGGGACAGGGACCTGCACAGGCAGCTTCACGGGTCCCTTGTGCCGAGCTGGAAGCAGAGGGCTGGGATCGTGCTGTGCTCTAACAAAGGGACCAAACCCACACATCCTAAACCTTGCCAGTGTTTGTCCTCTTAGGACCAGGACCTCTTTTACCTCTTTTTCACACTTCTGAGGCGAGTGCTTTGGACTCATGCCAGCGAACTTCCCGGACAGCTGTTTGGGGACTGACTGAGGAACACATGTACGCGTCACAGCTCCTGAAGGAAGGCGTCCCATGGTCCCGGGCTGGGCGCTGCTGTCCCTGTCCCTGCTTCCTCTGGGACCCGCCTTCCTCTGCGCGCTCTCCTGGGGATTTTCGAGGCTCCTCGCTGCTGGGGAGCACCTGGCAGCAGCCTGCCCTCCGTGCTGGAGGACGTTTACCTGCTTGCCTGGGGGCTGGGGACGAATAAAGTGGTTTCGAGCTAGAGGTGGCTGCGGGAGGTGGCGGTGTTGCGGGCGGTGCCGGCCGGGGGACGCTGAGCGCCCGGCTCGGGGCCCTGCCGGTGCGCGGTGCTGCCCGCGGGGGGCGGGGCCCGGGGGGGGGGAGGGCGGGGCCTCTCTCGGAGCCGGCCCCGCCCCGGGCACGTGACGCATGCGCGGTGCGCGCTGCCCTGAGGCACGGCGGCGGCCATGGCTGCGGCGCTGTCCCGGGCCCTGCCCCTGGCCCTGGCGCTGTCCCGCGGCGCCCCCCGGGGTGAGGGCGGGGGCGGGGAGGGGCCGGGGGGGGGGCACCGGGACCGCGGGGTGGGGTCGGGGCCCTTCGGGACTCGGCGGGGGTCGGGCCCGGGCCCTGCGGCGCCGCCCGGGGCCGGTCCGTGTCGGGGTGACCCCGGGGCCGCCGTCCTGACGCCCGGCCCGCCCGCAGCGCGGCTGCACACCGTGTACCAGAGCGCGGAGCTGCCGCAGACGCACCTGATGCTGCGCCAGACCTGCCGCGACTTCGCCGAGAAGGAGCTGATGCCGCTGGCGGCCCAGCTGGACAGGGAGCACCGCTTCCCCGCGCAGCAGGTGCGTGCCGGGCAGCGCGGGCGGGTTCGGCAGCGCCACCCCCGTGTCGGTGCTGGGCGCTCAGGGACACTCCGGGCTCTCGGAGTTCCCTGAGTGACTGCCCCGGGGGCTGTAACAGCACTGACTTCTCAACGCATTGAGACGCTGTTACTGCACGTGCATAACCTGAACGTGGGTTGTAGCGAGGAGCCCCAGCAGAGCTGGGCACGGTTCTGGCTGTGTGAAGGTCGTGAGGCAGCTGCTGGTCACCCCCAGGGCTGTGAGGAAGCGGAGCTGCTGCTCAGGCCTTGTGCAAATCACTGCAGCGAGTCTGTGCCGTGGGGAGCAGGCTGCTGCCCCGGGGTCATTGTGGTGCAGTACTAAGCACAAGAAAAATAAACAGTTACACCATTAGCCAAAAGGCTCCAAGCAAGCAGTGTCAGAGGAATGCAAGTTTTGTTATATTCCTTTTATTGTATTCCCTCTATTACATTCCTCCTTCCTGTTCAGGAGTAAGGAAGATAGCCAGGAAAGGCACACCTGTTCTAAGGGAAGAAACAACTTCCATCTTACTTCACCGGTCTTACCTGAGATTTTTACATTTGATTGTTGAATATTTTCACATGAATGTGTAGGGGAAAACTCAAATTGTAATCAGTATTTATTAATGTAAAGCAATATGCGTAGAACTAGCTGCTGTCCTTCATTCATCCTCTGGATTTGAAGAGAAGGGCGAGTGTTTTGGGTGTCTGTACAGGACGGAAAAATGTTAAAATTTACAGGTTGTATTAAAGCAAGCAGAGCCTGGTAATACACTTGCTCCTGCAACACCAAAAGCTTGGACTAAATTTGTTATATTGCATTTTAAATATAAAAGTAGAGGACAGCTTGTTTTTTCCCTTGTATATTGCCAGGTATTAATAAGAGATGTAGAGCAAGGCAGTGCTCTGAGTTAAGCTGGGGTCCAGCTGAGGAAGGTGGGGAATAATTTGAAGGTTGGAATAATTTGGAACGTGACCAGCCATTAAATTCTCAGGAAAGCAAAACCTGGCTCTAACGGGAATGAAAAATTGCTTCCTTGCGGTGTTCTGTGGGTCATTCATTCTGTAAAATTCTTTCCTTGTGCGGTCCTAGGCTGAAGCACAGCAGACTGGAAGGTAAAGTTCTGACATTTTTATCAGCTAGATTTCCCATGCAGGGCTTCCAACCCACAGGGGCAGTGTGAGGGGAAAACGGTGGGAGGCTGAGAAAGTTCTGGTGAGGGTGTAGCTGCCTGTCTCTCCTTCAGAGGGCTCCCTCCTTTGAGCAGGAGCTCATCCCAGCCAGCAGTGACCATGTACAGCTCTCGTCGAAGCTACTGGGGTCACCAGTTTGCTCAGCCACATTCCCATTTCACCAGGAGTCAGGCACATCCTCACCTGTGTGCAGCCCTGCCATGAGCTGTCCTGTATCTGTGTGTCTGCATGATGTGTGTGCTGGGACGCTGGGGGAGCAGAGTGCCCTACTGCTCCATTTCCTGTGCAGGTGAAGAAGATGGGGGAGTTGGGGCTGCTGGCTATGGATGTGCCAGAGGAGTACAAAGGCGCAGGCCTGGACTACCTGGCCTATTCCATCGCGGTGGAGGAGATCAGCAGGGGCTGCGCGTCCACGGGCGTCATCGTCAGCGTCAACAACGTAAGTGCCTCGGGGCTGCGCCGGGGGGGACAGGCCTGAACCGAGCCCTGCACCAGGGTGGTGGTAGGAGAGGGGCGTACGGGAGAAATGGGAGCTGTTCCCGGGGTGGGTTCTGGTGTTCTGGGGAGCACTGAGGTATTTGGGGGTTTGTGGGTTGCTTGTGCCTTCAGCAGGCACTAACTCAGCTCTCCGTTCTCAAAGTCTCTGTATTTAGGGCCAATTCTCAAGTTTGGTTCTGAGGAACAGAAGCACCAGTGGATCGCTCCCTTCACCAGCGGGGAGAAAATCGGATGTTTTGCTCTCAGTGAGCCAGGTGATGTGACTGTTCCCGTTCAGTTGCAAAGGGCACAGGGTAACCTGTTTTCCTTAGTCGGGTTTAGAATGGACTTCAGGTCTGTCAAACTGTAACAGTTTGCAGACAGCTGGGTTATAGCGCTTCATTTAAATGAAGTCTCAGCGCCCAAGGTACGCATGGCACCATGTGGCCTGTGCTGAAAAGTTTCATCCCTCCTGTGCCAGCAGAGCCCTGGAGATGGCAGCTCTGCCACTGACTTTTCCCCTTCCTATGTGGAGCCACTGTGGGAGGGACAGTGGTGACAATGGTGACACCACGCAGTTCCAGGTGGCGCCACGAGCTGACCACCTGAATGGTTTTTGTGCTGCCTTGCGCAGGAAATGGCAGCGACGCGGGAGCGGCAACCACAGTGGCACGCCTGGATGGTGACGAGTGGGTCCTGAACGGCACCAAGGCCTGGATCACCAACGCCTGGGACGCCTCGGCCGCTGTGGTGTTTGCTACTACAGATAAAGCCCTGAAGCACAAGGTGTGTTCCGCGAGTCGGTTGGGAAAAGGAGTGGGAGTAAAGGAAGTGACGGGAGCACCGCTCTGAAGGAGTTCTGGGGGGACCATGCAGGGTATTTCAAGCTGTGCAGGCGTTGCAGAGCAAGGCTGATGTGTGCGGGCTTTATTGTTCTGCCTCAGCCCTCCCCTTCTTTCTGGTCGCACGGCTCCTGTGAAAAGCATCTGCAGGAAGCCTGCTGGCACCCAGGTGGGTGGGAAGTCATCACCATTCCTAGGAGTCTGGCTCCTGTTGCAGGGCATTAGTGCGTTCCTCGTTCCCATGCCAACCCCGGGGCTGTCGCTGGGGAAGAAGGAAGACAAGCTGGGCATCCGCGCCTCTTCCACGGCCAACCTGATCTTTGAGGACTGTCGGATACCCAAGGCCAACCTGCTGGGGCAGCTGGGAATGGGCTTCAAAATCGCCATGGTAAGAGGTGGCTCAGCACTGCAGCTGTGGCTGTGTGACGCAGTAGTTCCCCAGCTGGCCATTTCCAAATCCATTTTCAGACTTAGGTTGGTGAGAGCTGCCAGTGTGAGCTGAGTGTTAATGCAGAGCCCCTTCTGGGCAGCACGTGAGACCACGGTCACAGAGCTCGGTGAATTTACCACAGAGCCTTGACAGCGCTTTTTTCATAGACCCAGTGTGGCAGTTCTCTGAGGGATGATGCTGAAGCATGGTGTGAGCAGGGATGGTTTTAGTTTGTTGTTTTTTTTTCATCTCCCCATGTTCTAGCCTCCTATTTAGTACCTGTAGATTAAGGGAAAACCTTGCATTTTCCCTAAACGCTTTGGCCAAGGAGAGCTGTCCTGGGTCATCTCTAAAGGTGGATGAAATTTGACAGGGCGCATGCGCGTGTCTGTGTGCATGTCAGTGTGTACCGTTTGATCAGTTACAACCTGATTTAATGCATACTTTGTCTTGCTCAGCAAACTCTGGACGCAGGCCGGATCGGCATCGCCTCCCAGGCGCTGGGAATAGCGCAGGCAGCCCTGGACTGTGCCGTAGATTATGCTGAGAAGAGGACGGCGTTTGGGTCGCCCATCACCAAGCTGCAGGCCATCCAGGTACGCGCTCGCCTGCCTTGTCAGGTGCACACGTTGCTGGGGTTGGCAGAAAGGTGCACGTGGGCACTGGGACTTGGCTCCAGGGGCACAGCGTGCACTCAGCACTGACTGGGGCATGCGAGGTAATTGTTTATGTTTTCAAACAATTAGACTCTAAGGGTGGAGCCGCTCCTTTTCCAGTGGTATTGGCCTCAGAGGTGGGACACTCGGGTATATGTGCTCATGCAGTCAGAGGCAGCCACCTCGGCCAAAGGCAGTGTTTGTCGTTGCAGTTCAAGCTAGCAGATATGGCTGTGGCCTTGGAGGGGGCGCGCTTGCTGACCTGGAGAGCTGCAATGCTGAAAGACAACGGGAAGCCCTTCACGAAGGTATTGACACCCTTCTGTCTGTCTAGCAGCGACAGCTCTGGGCACAGGCTGGAGGCAAGAAACCCCTGTGATGTACGGCAGCGCTGCGCTCAGCTCGTGCCCAGCCCCTGCTGCTGGTGTTTAACCACCAGCAAGTGGGTTCAATGTGCAAATGGGGCGTTCCTTCTTTGCGATCGCTGCATCCTCAGTGATGTTTTCCTTCCCCAAAGGAAGCGGCAATGGCCAAGCTGGCGGCATCAGAGGCTGCAACAAGCATCGCTCATCAGGTAACTACACAGCATGCTGGAAGCTGGGTTGTGGTACTTCCCCATTTCACACAGCAAGCTGAGGAAAGTTCCTAGGGCAAGGGGGAGGGGGTGGAATTCAATCTTTGATAGAATATAGCTTAAAAAAAATATAAAAAAAAATGGGTTGACCATGGAAGAACTAACAAATACCCCTGAAGTAGTTCGTTTGCTGCCTGGGATGTCAGTATTGCTGTTACAACCAG